TTATAACTATGATTATCGCTCAGCTTATAATCGTAAGTAATGTTAGTAAAACTTTTACTCGAAAGAATTTTGAACAAAACAACACGTATTTCTAATTTTGAGGAATAGTATGCGAATATATTACATTGTGTGTACATTAAAGAGACGCGTTCGAATAGTACCTTACAATTAGTAAAAACTAAGAACATACATCGCACATATCGAAGAAATACAGCTGTAAAATAGCTATAGATTACGTATAGAAACTTTCTATTTATTGTTGTTTCGTTGAACACGTCAACTTCGGACACCATACCTCGATACCGTCACCGGATACTGCGAGAGTGTCATTCCGATAGTCCATCTGCAACATAAAACACACGAACAATTACAATTACAATATTCAACAAAATTCACGATATTGCAAGATAAGACTTGTAAGAATGTTGCCAATTTTAAGGATTTTACTTACATTCGGAAGACAACGATAAAATCTGATTTCAAAGTTTAAATGTAGGTCAAAATTTAATTATCAAACTGTATTTTTTTATTTTACACACGTTGATGTTCCTATACGTGCGATACTTACGTTTAAGATATGTCTTATCTCTGTACGTAAAGTAGCGATGGGCTTTGACAGATCCGTAAGGCTCGAAATTTTGACAGTGCCGTCCCTGGAACTTGTTATCAGGCATCCGTGCGTCAGATGCACTCCCGTTATAATGTCGGTATGCTTAGTAGAATAAGATTTCACTATCTTGAAATCGTCCTTTGGATTTAGCACGTGCAATTTCGAGGAGCATATGGCCCATGTTACGGTTCCAACGAAAACCAAATCCCGTCGCATATTTATACACCTGGGGACCGTGTGGGGCGTTACATCTGAAAACTAAAAAGTACACCTTCGACATCGTGTCTCGTTTCTCGATGTTAAAAATTGACATTACTGTGATAGACTTCATGGTTCGTCCGGCTCTTTGATCCCAAACGGACATCGTACTGTCTTCGCTGATGGACAGAATGTATTCCGTGTTCATGGCCAGCCTACTCACGTATCTAGTGTGAGGTCGGTAATGACTGATCGGGTTATTTCTCGATCTCGAATCGAACACGTATATAGTCCCGCAGCCTGAGCCGGTCGCAAAGAGATCCCGCTCCGGACACGATGACACACACCGAAACAGCGAATTGAATGTCTCGCCCCTTATGTCCATTTCTACCAATGCAGATTAACTTTAATCTTGGTTTAACTTACTTATTATCTTTCTCTAATTTTAAGAACTAGAAAAAGATAAAAAGCAAGTTAAACTGCGATTAAAGTTAATTTACATTGGTAGAAGTGGGCATTAGTCTGTGAAAATAAACCTGCACTTTTTAAATTTTATATTTTCATCTATTGTGCTACATATTGTTCTAAATTTATATCATTTTGTGGCAAAAGCCTCATCTCGATAGCTTATCGTATATTTTAGAAAATAACAGAGAACGAAATATTTGTTAGCCCCGTACTTGTTAAATTTTGAGTATTTTTTAACTCCGCCGTATTGAACTACAGTTGGGGTAATTTTTGCCAGAATACGATAGCAATATTTTATAACGTATTAAAAAAAGAAATTTTTT